ATATATATATAGAATCTAAATGATACAAAGTCATTCAAGTTGCGATGACAGAATTGTCATTTTTGGTTGAACTATCCCTTAAAGTCCACAGACAGGAAGTGGTTATTAAGCAACTCACAGAGGAGGAAATTCAAGCTCTGCACCACAATCTTTTCATGCAGTTGGATGCTTTGTTCAGCCTCTTCTATGACATCACACACCTCTCTGTTTCAGCCTTCTGTGAATATCTCTGTGGAGGAGACGGATGGTGCCCCTCCTTTCTCCGCTCTGCTCAGGAACTGGTGGGAAATGTATAATGAATACTAATGAATCCCCACCTCCCTCGACAGGTGTCTTACCTCCACCCCTCTCACAACTAACATCCTGTGAGCTACTGACATGTGATGTGAATTTAACACACACAAGGCTCAGTGGAAACATCCTCTCCACCCTGAGCTCCTTCATTAGTGCTGATTCTTTAACAGACTGGACGAGTTCAATAAGGAAAGTCACAGTGTTCCAGATTTCACCATTCCAATAAATTATCAGGAAACACAGCTAAAAAGTGAAGAAACCGTTCAAAGGAGTACATCGCATATAGATGCATTTATTCCGCTAAGAAAATAAATGGAAATTCTTAATTAATATAGCATTGTTTTTCTTAATTAATACATCATTTATTTATTAAATGTTAGATAAGAATAAGAAATATAATATCATAAAAATAATTTTTTTTTTTTTTTTTTTTTTTTTTTTTTTTTTTTTTTTGCATTCTGGCATATTTATTACAAATAAACCCATTTATGCCACCCAATTCTGTCAGCAGCTTACTGTAATGCGAAATAAAATCTCATTTTCAATTGTTATTTAAAGCTACAGTCCGTAACTTCTTTTGGTTTAAAATGATCCGAAATCAATATTTGAGCAAGTACATAACCAGCCAGTGTTCAAAACTATCGCCTTACTTTAGCCCGAAAATTTAAAAAAAAAAAAAAAATATAAAATAAAAAAAAAAATTTTTTTTTTTTTTTTTTTTTTTTGCATTCTGGCATATTTATTACAAATAAACCCATTTATGCCACCCAATTCTGTCAGCAGCTTACTGTAATGCGAAATAAAATCTCATTTTCAATTGTTATTTAAAGCTACAGTCCGTAACTTCTTTTGGTTTAAAATGATCCGAAATCAATATTTGAGCAAGTACATAACCAGCCAGTGTTCAAAACTATCGCCTTACTTTAGCCCGATTCACAAAGGTAAGCTTATAATAATGTTTTCTAATTTGAGTGGTTCGGGTAGGTTTTCGCGGGAAATTCGAGCATGGCACGTCTGTAAACATAAAGAAGTTGTCCCGGCTACTAGGCTATCGCATGTCAGGATCCTGCAGGTGGAGGATCGCTTATAGCCTTTTCTCACAGCAGCTAGAATAATTAAATGTATCATTTTGATGGCGGATTGTAATCCAGAAAGAATTATGTGTTTATGAAACACATTTGAATGAAATTAAATTATATTCGAGCTATAAATGTGCTTCTGATTACAGATAGCCTGGGATTACAAAGATTTGTATTTTAAAGAAAACCAGTTCAAAGGGAGCATAATTAGCTTTTTGGGTTAAAATAATTTCTTTAGTATGAAATTCGAAGAGCATGACAATTAGATTAGACCGTGCAGAGATTGAAATCTACACGCTAATACACACTATACTCAAATAGTCACCAATGCTGATGTTGTTAACATTAATCATTTGAGAATAAAGTATAACAATAATAATAATTTGAATGGTTTGATGTTCTCGAGTGCACTCATTCAATCCCAGAATGCACTGCAAAAACGAGTGTACAACTGGTGCACACTCAACGGCTAGAGAATGCCCATAATGCACCGTGAGAGTCACGCGCCGAATGAATTCCCGCATCTCGCCAGAAGATGGCGCCCGCAGCTGAATAATCAATCCATTCATTTTTACAAAGCGCTCATCCATTGCGTACCGCATAATGTACAACACGGGTATAAATTCATTGTAAATTGATTATTAATAAACAGCAAGCACAAACTACGCAAAAGCGGCATTCCTTTCCGGTGCACCAGTGTCCAAATTCACTACTCGTTTTCATTCACTCCTTCTAGTGAACTGAATTAGTGACCTAATGTAGGGAATAGTGAATGAGGGTATAGGGGGCGATTTCGGACACAGCCATACTCTTCAGAACATTAGATTAATCCGTGCTGGAGCCGTGCCGACTCACAACCCACGCAAGCTAGATAATTCCACACACAGCTGCAATTCCAGGTTTTCAAACAGAGATGGCGACAAAGAGGCAAAACTTACGGACTGCAGCTTTAAACTGTCAAGTACATTTGCAAAGTAATCATAATGCACTGCCTAAAGTGATGTCATTTAAATGTCCAGTTAGTAAAATATTTTTTGTATGTATAATAATGATGATAAAAATTGAGTTTCAGATGAAGAGGACATGTAATATAAAATATAATTCCTTAATTATATTCTGATTTTGATATTAAATATGACACAAATAGTTCTTTGTATTCTCAGATCTGGCTGAAGACGTTAAAAAACGTAAGATGTAGCCTACATATTAAAAAAGGTGTCAACATTTGATTGAAATTGTTCCATGCTGCTCAACTTTAACAGCAGGCCCTAGTCTAATTGTTTATCAACTGGTATATAATACAGTATTATGTAATGATCAAATTAAAATGTCTTTAGTATTTATTGTGTGAAGCTTGGCTGAGCAAGTTAATATGCTATAGTAACACTTCGCTCGGAAACATTCTTCTTGGCAGAGAAGGTAACGGCCTGACATGTGTTTTAATTAAGTTTCTCACTTCAGTGCCCAGATATTTGTGGATGTCAATGCAGCGGTCCATGAAGATACGATCCGATATGCCAAACAGTTCTCCTACAGCAGATAATTAATTCCACATCTGAATAACTGCTATTTGATTTGTTTGTTATGTTCAGCATAAAAAGGTCAGAGATTTTGTTTCCCATCAGTTCGTGGCATACTGCTACATTGTGATTGTACATACAAACAGCACTTACAGCCTGTGTAGAAACCTGTCTTGTGTTGTCTGATCCTATGGAGGAAGCAAACAGAGTCTCAAATTAAGACATTCTACATCTGCTCTGAAATTACTTGACGCAATCTCATTACAAAGAACGTTATACGCGGCTGCCACCTGGTGGCTACAATACAAACTGCTAAAAAAAAGACTGCAGAACGTTTTGTGAACGCATAGGTTTTATTTCATACTGTTTTTACCTACAACTTAATGCCTTTGAAAGACAAAAAAAAGAGGTTTACATTCACTCAATCAATCTATTAAATACTACAGCACGTGATAATTAAATAATTTGCACAAAATAAGCATCACATCCTTCATTGCACATATTTTACAATTACTTGTGCTTTTGAACTGGTAGTTTGCTTTACATATCACACAGACTAATAGAAACACACAGAAAGAGACAGCGGCTTGTGGAACATGAAGCTACAACAGCAGACCATCAGCGGTTCCTAGAAACGAACAAAAATGTACAATTAATGGAAATAGTTTTCACTCAGAAATTGCTAGTAAATTTCACAAATATTAAAAAACGAAACATGAGCAACACATTGATTTAAAAATGACATTTTGATGAGGAATGATTGTTTTGTTTTTTGTAAAATGTACTCCAATAATCATTTCTAAGTTTTATTTACAACTTCAAAAATCACTTTTACAGTATAAAAAAACAGATATGAACAGGTTAGGTTTCAACAGAGAAAAACAAGGCACATAGGCTGCCACTCCAGGGTCATTTACTCACCTCAGACCCCTTACAGCATGTACAGTTCCAGGAGATACTCCTTAGGCACGATTCCGATGGCCCCTTTCATCTCCCCCACCCACCAGCCAAACAAGTCGTACTCCTGTAAACAACCGATAACCGACATTCATTAAACCCACTCACTGTTGAGACCAATCAGCGCAGTGACACAATCAGCGAGGTCAAATCTCATAGGTGAATGCTCAGGGGAATTAAATCTGTCAATACATTGTTCATTTACTCGTTCATCCTCAGGTTTTTCCTCATTTTCTTCTCATACTGTCTCGATCCGTACATCCCTACCCCCCATTCTGTCTCCCTCCCATCCTCCTGTCTGTCTTTCCAAGGCCAATTCAAGGACACAAGGCCCATTGGACCTATAAAGATTACACAAGAGAATGTGAACGGGAGATATATTTCGTATGAAGCACAACAGATCTGTGAGCCCGAGGACAGAGTCCTTTTCTTTCCTTACAGAGACAGATCAGCTCTTCTCCAGCTCATGGAAAAGATTACCATAAAGATAAGAAGAAGATAAGATCCGTCCATCCGTCTCTCTTTCTTTATTCAATAATTACAAACAGATCACACAGTGCCATTCACTTCAAAGCCACTAAACCCTGCGTTTTCTCCACATCCACGATACTCTGATTCTCACAGATGCCTTCTAAACTTTGGGGTTATACTGAGGCAGATCTATCAAGCCGCATCATGCTTTCTTTCAAAAAGGAGAATGTAGGGAAGCAGTGAGAGGAGATTGGACTGAAATGAACTGTGGGCGCACTGAAACCACCAAATAAAACTCTATTTCCCAGCAGACCTTTGGAAGAGCTGGACAAACTGGGGTCTGGGGACCCCAGAAAATTTACAAAATGCATATTAAAATGTATCTGTCACAGTTAATGTGTGCATAAAACATTAATGTTTAATATACTAATTTGGTAATATTTCTATTTGATCCTGCTTTCTAAACATGGTTGGAAATCAAGAAAAAAATCTAAATACAGTTTTGCTAAATAACGATGATAAATAAGGAAGTAAAATCAATCAATAAACAAATACGGAATTCAAATATATTAAATATAAAAAATTGTGCTAGTATGTTAATTTCAGAAACACTATCAACTTAATAAAAAGTAACTATAACCAATTTAACTGATTTCATATAATAAATATAATGCAATTAAACACACTACCATTCAAAAGTATGGGGTTGGTAATTTCTTTATGTTTTTGAAAAAAGTCTCTTATGTTCTCCAATGCAGGCTGCATTTATTTGATCATAAATGATAGCTAATTTGGTGCTCAATTAAATATGTTTTTACCAATGTTGAAAAAAGTTGTGCCGTTTAAGAATCTAATAGTTTTTTTGTAACATTATAAATATATTTAATGTCACTTTTGATCAGTTCAATAAATCCTTTTTGAATAAAAGTATTCATTTATAAAAATCTTTCTAACTCCAAACTTTTAGGGTAGTGCAATGAGAAACAATTATTTTGTTTATATGAAGTTTATATGCTTGAAAATATAGCTGACTTATATTTTAGGAAGGGGGTCCCATAAAAGGCATAAATCATATCTGGGAGTCCTTGGCACCAAAACTTTCAAATCAAAAATCTTCTACTACTTTGCAAAGGCCGAACACAGTATGGGGTTTCTATGATCTGTCTATGTGACAGACAGGTTTGGCTCAATTTGTTCAGATTCCAAGAAAGCTGAGAAAATACATGTAAAAATAGCAACTTTTAGCTTCGGTGTATTTATTGTGATTTGCCTTTGTAGGGCAGTATAGAGGACCTTAGTGGGGCCCTCACTCATCAGAGGGTCCAGGCTGCCAATCTGAATCTTCAGCTTGTTACATGTTTTTGAAAGTTCCCACATAAACACTCATTTGTTGTACTTGAAAATAATGGTCAACTACAGTGAAACCCCCGAAACATCTCAATCCAGTGTACTCTGACTGACATTTATAGCCTTTTTTCTCTCTGACATTCAAGTCTTTGATGTCCCTAAAATTGACTAGACACTCACTGCTTGTCTGCCTTCATCTTTCACCTCACTGACGGAGAAAAAAAATCTCTCTCTGCATGGTTCGGAAAGAGCAATGAGGTTTGAATCATACCCATCTGAAGTTAAATATGAAGTTTGTGGGCCCCTACTTGACCCCGGCAGCCTAAGTGATTCCTGCTGTATAATGTATAGTGCTCAGCTCCGGCCAGCAAACCTCTTACTGCCTGCGTGCACGTATCTGTCTATAAAACAACAGGTCTGGTTATGCAGCTGCTGACAGCTGCCGCAGACACACACACTGTAATGGAGAGCATCTCTTCACCGCCAACTGTCCTCAGTGTGCACTGTCCTCCTCACAAGAGTAAAAAGAAAAACTTTGCTAAAAGACCATAGACTTCAAATCTTCCGCTATCTGTAAAGCTTAGATTTTGAATATAATTTAGAATATATTCCATTTATACAGTCTAATAATGTCAGAACTGTAGATCCTGAAGGCTGGTTGCATAAACTGCTTAAACTAGTCTTAAAAAGTAAGTCATCTAATTTGTTTTCTTCAAGGCTGGTCATAACTTTTTTTTTTACGTCAGCTACAAAAAGTTAGCATGGCCCAATTTGAGTAAGAAAAGTAAGACTGATTACCTCTTGGCTAACCGCTAGTTGGTCAACCTATTTCTTAAGACACAGTCTTAAAAGTGGCTGTTTATGCAACTGGCCCCAGGTGTTTTTTTAAGCTGCTTGTTTTCAGACTTTTCTATTAACAGAAACTGGGAGCACTGATATATTAAGTTAACCATGTGATTCCAGAAATTTCAAAAACTGTATGTTCTTCAGGAAAAACAATTTATTGAATTAAATTTCAGTTTACACTTGGATTTTGTGTTCTGTAGCATTTTAATTTAGATTATAGTTATTATTTTAATATCTACATGTAATTATATATATATATATATATATATATATATATATATATAT